GGGGGGGGTGGAATCTGTGTTATTGTTTGCATGTTCTCCCTGCACTTGTGTGGGTTTCCTCCGGGTACTCTGGTTTCCTCCCACACTCCAAAGCCATGCTGGAAGGTTAATTGGCTCCGGTCGAAATGTGCCCTTGTGTGTAAGCATATGCAGTGGCGTCACAAGGGGGATGCGGGGGGTGCGACCATTGGAGGGGTGACACCAAAATGAATGACAGTCATTTTGTTGTCACCCCCTATGAAAAGTCGGGCACTCGGTCACGGACCAAGAACGTGACAGTGTCAGGAGAGAGGAGGGCCCCCGGCGGCATACCACAACCGCCGGTTAAACGTCCCCTCCTTTCTCTGTCGGCGTCCATCACCAAGATGGCTGTCAGGCGTCAATAAGACAGCCGCACGTGCGCAATGAAGTCATCGCGCAGTCACGGTAACGTCACGCGCATGCACAATGACGTCACGGCGGGGTTTCACCCGGTCTCCGCTCGGGTGTCATCCAGCCTCGGGACGTCCCTGAGCATGTGAGATGGGAATCTTAGATTGTAAGCTCCTTGAGGGTAGGGACTGATGTGAATGTGCAACTCTGTAAAGCGTTGCGTAAATTGTCGGTGCTTTATAAATACCTATAATAAATAAAAAAATTATTTTGGATCCTCAATACATGAAAATTATCATTTATTTGTCTGGAGAGTTCACAGACGTTAACATATCCCTTAATGCCATCCGTTTAATTGGTTTCTTGACAATCATGTATGTTTTTTTGTATCTGGACTTGTGTTTCATTTTGAAAAATAAATAAATATGTACATATAGAAGTAGTCATGTGTTTCTAGCTGAGCTCCAGGCAAATAGCTGCATAGATAAAATATGTATTAAAAAAACACAATTTATCTGCTAAATTGATTTGTATTTCTGTCCTTCCAGTCCTGAGATTGTTACACAGCACAGCCATGCCTGGAAGAGGAGGAGACCTGATCTTTCTCTGCTGCAGTTCAGTAACAGTGACAGGTCTGAGGAGCACACTGATGAGCTCATCTCTATATCACTCTGCTCTCTCCTCCTGTCCATCAATTTATTACATGAATTTATATACCGTCCACCATTTACACAACGCTTTACGTATGGCACATTCACGTTAGTCTATCGGTATGCTTCTTGCATTGCAGTACAACTGACTGGCTCTCTGTGATGCTTCTGCATCCCTCGGTGTGAGCTCTGCCGTACAGGGACTGTAGGAGGCTGAAAATTCAGGTACTTACACTGATTTCATTAAACAATTGGGGGGATTTATCAAACCTGGAGCAGACAAAATCTGGAGCCCACCGCAACCAATCGGCTTCTCCCTTAAGTCTGTTCAGTTAAGCTTTGAAAATGAAAGGTGGATGCTGATTGGTTACCATGCACAGCTGCTGCAGATTTTGTCTGCTCCAGTTTTGATAAATTCCCCTTATAGTATTTATGGACGTTTTATTAAAGCGATATTAGAGTCAAAAGGTTTTTAAGCTATTTCAAATGCTGATTAAATCCCTTACAATGGATGCTGCTCCTTGTTGTTTAAAAGTTTTATTCTCCTGCAGAATCAGCTAAGCATTGGCCATGATATCCTGTTTTAGCTGCTTTCCCTCGCAGGGTCCTATGGAGCCACCCTTGTGTGTGCTACAAGATGGCCGAAGATCTGAACTGCGCATGCGCCCGCCCCATGATCGTTTCTTCAGATCTTTGGACGGGAGCGCGCGACGGAGACACATTTAAATTGTAACCCCTTTGTTAAAAAAAAATGATGTCTTTGTATATATCCACTGCTTGCTATACTGGTTATAGTGAGAAGGAACCAAAGCAATCAAAAAGCCCTCATAGAAGCCAAAGATTCCATACACTGCACTCAGGGCTATGTCAGGGGTGAATGTCACCCGGGGCGGACATTTGTGCCACCCCAACCCTAATTATTGGTTGCTACAACACAGTTTTGGATGTGCATCTGGGTTATAAACAATAAGTTGCATGGCTCCACCCACTGTCCTTAAGGAGAAACTCTGGGGAAACAATTCTTAACCCTTGGGGCTACCCCCTCATTGCAAGGTTTAAGTGTAACCTTTCCTGGGCAAAGAGCTGGTATTGGCTCTCTCTAGTACTGGTCATCTGACCAAAAGGCTAGGCACTAGTCATGTGATCTCTGCTGAAGGACAGGAACAGAGTTTGGATTAGTTGCCCTTCCTCTTCAGCAGAGATCATGTGACCACGTATTTAAGCCTTCAAACATCTTTAAACCTAAAGGGTACATTTTCTCCAGTAAACTTTCTTTATCCTTTGCAGGGAAACTATTAGCACAGTTTTATGTCAACATTTGAGTGTAGATGCACTCTAAATGTATGCTGTCATTTGTGACATAATCAGCAATCATATCAGATATCAACTGAGAAGTTTTGGAACTCTTTATCCTTGTCACATTTGCATTAAGCTGAACAGAGTTGTAGATTGCTCCGCGTGGGCGTGGACACTGCAGAGAAATACTCAATATGTCTGCTTTCACAGTGGATTTTATATAACATTAAAGAGGATCTTGTATGAAAATGTAAGGTCCACTTAATACCTGACCCTCTACATCCCGCCTCCCGATCCCTCCCATAAAACACAAAAACAATCAATAAATAAAACTTACCGTGGACCCCAACTTCCGGCCACTTCTGTGAGCGCTGATGGCATCATTGTGCCTCACTCTTGCCTCCTGGGAAAGTAAAGAACTTGAAATCCAACAAAAATGTATTTCAGCTCAATGTAGGGCTCATTGAAAGGCAGTCTGAGAGGCTTGGGGGGGAATTAGGAAGACCTTGAATTTTTGTCCAAGCTCCACTTTAGGACAGATTCCCTTTAACTGCACACACAGACCAGAGAAAAAAAGGTTAGTTGAATTCTAGAGTTAAATTACTGAAACTGTGTGTTGCTCAGAATCATGCTTGCTCATCATCTTATCTTTCCAAAATGTCACATGACCCAGATGACCTGCCATATAAAAGCAGACAGAAGAGAATGACCTCAGCCACTCGTCGCTATGTGGGGCATCATATTGGCCCTGAGTGTAGCTCTGGCTGCTGGTAAGTTCAACATTAACTGTTTGCATTGAACTAAGACAATCTAAAAAAAAGTTTTACCTTTAATATTATTTTTATTAATAGTAGATATTTTTATTATTTTTTAGGAAGTCAAGATCTCCAGTATGGTAAGTGAATCCCATACTTACTCCTTTCTTATTATCTTGGTTATCATACTCTGGTATTTGTTTTCATGTTCCCTGTTTTCCAGTTGATTATTTTATCATATTTCATATTTGATTTATTTTTGTTCCATATTCCTTTTGATGACGTACATTAGTGCTTACAGAGATAATCTATAAAAATTCCAATCAATTTGTCGATAGGAAAAAGTACACGTAAGGGTGCCCACAGTACTACAATATTAATGATTTATTAAACAGATTTCTAATAAGTTATACAAAATAATACAATAATAGTAATAATTTCTCCAGTGCTGAAAAGGTAAACCTGTACTTTTAGAATTACTTGTGTTAGGAGTTTATGTAAGGGTAAAGGTTAGGGTTATGTTTTAGGATTATGATTAAAACAGTGAAGCCTTCTTAGAATAGAAGGTATTCACATGCCCCATTCCATAACATATCACAAAAATAAGAGGATTATTCCT